TGGGAGAGGGGGAGGCTTCTTGGGGCTTTAGATGACTCTGCTTGAGCATCTGGAGGTCTGCAGTCAGATGGGACGAACGTCAGCAGAGCCCGAGGTCTGTCTGAGGGACTCCTTCTTGTCAGGCTGTTTCAGGTAAAGATGGAACGGGAACAGCACCAGACGGAGATCAGGGATCTCCAGGACCAGCTCTCGGAAATGCATGATGAACTGGACAGCGCCAAACGGTCCGAGGACAGGGAGAAGGGGGCTCTGATTGAGGTAAGGGGCCGGTGGGGCCAGGTGACAAGATAGGCCCCATCTGCCCGAAGAGGGTGAGATGGCGGAGGCGGGATGGGGACTGAGTACCCTGAGCCATGTTCTGTTTTGTGCATTTACCGCACCTGTGCCTGTGGTTAGATTCTGTAAGAGCGTCACGTGTAATAGTTTTTAAGCATTGTCTTAGGAAAACTTCCACCATACAGACAAGTAGACAGGGTACTGCAGTAACTTCCACAGAGCTCCAACCCAGATCCAGCAGTGGCAACATTTTGTGATATTATCTCCACTTATTCATCTGTCCATCCGTTCATTCTTCTATTTTTTTCATGCATCAATTTATCCATCTTTGCTGAACTATTTCAAAGCAAATTGTAGATAACACCATGCCTCACGCCTAAATTCTCAAGCACACATCTTTGAAAATTATGGAATTTTCTTACAACCACAATACTATTATAACACCTAAAAAATTTAATAATTCCTATAATATATATACAATATAACAAGAATTCTAATACGTGGGCCCTCATTCAAAATTTTCCACTTGTCCTCCAGGCATATTTTATGGTTGTATTCCCCCTCCTCCCAGCCAGGATCCAATCAGGAATCCCACATTGCTGTCACTGTTTTCATTTATTCCGGTATAGCACCCTTCCCCCTCATTCCCTACGGCCTGCTTTTCTCCTCCCATCCCATCCATCTTCTGACGAGATTAGGCCAGTGCCCCTCTGATTTGTCTGATTATTTCCTTATGGTGTCCATTATGGTGTTCCACTATCCCCTGTATTCTAGTAAATTTGTATTTAGATCTCTACTCTAATAGATTTAGATTAAACTTTGGGCAAAAATACTTTGTAAGTAATGCTATTTATGGGAAAGCATGGAAAATACATTAATGCCCATACAACACTTAGCACAGGTTAAGTTTTTGTTTAAGGCCCACAAGACTGTAAGCTCCAGGAGGGCAGGGTTGGTGATGGCTGGCTCAGCATTTTATCCCAGAGCTTGGGACATACAGCACTCAGTAAATATTTGGGGGTTGGTTGGATGGATCAGTTATGAGTTAGTAAGTGAATGAATGAATGAATCTGTTTGCTGTGACACAGGCTGCCCATCTGGCCTCTGCCCGTATTAGTATACCCCCTATTAAATATTTAGCTCTTATCAATCAGTGAGCAAGCGGATAAGATCGACTCTTTCCTCTGCTTAGCATTTGTTAATTATTATGGGGTTTTACAAAGACAGTTATTTTTTTCCTCCTGAATTAGATTACCATCTTGTTGAGGTGTTAGATACACACATATAAAAGTGATTAGAGAGCAAGAATAGGTTTTGAACATCTACATTTTGGGGGGGAGTGAGTCTAATTGAGAGTCACAAAAATACACAAGTGCCCATTTAGATGTTTTGATATTTGCTATAACATTACCATGTGCATTTTTGGCATAGTTTAAAATTTATTTCCATAATAATCTTTGTTTTGTAGGAACAGTTCAAAAAATAAATGACACGATTTAGAACAAAGCTAAAAAAAAAAATGAAATAAGAAAGGTACCTTGTTAGCATTGAATTTTTATTTTCTATTGCTTTCCCCCAGGGCTGAGTCTTTCTTTGACCCGTTCTTGGGGTTAAAAGCTGCTGGCTTTAGTTCCTTGTTAAGTCTCCTCTGTCAATTGTTTTCTCACCCTTTCCTTGTTTGGTTTTGAAGTAATTCCCCCGGAAGGATTTTGGGTCCTGCCCTTTAGAAGTAAGCCTCCCTCTTCCCCATGACTTGGCAGCGCTGAGCCCTGTGACCACACAGCACAGGGGTTCTCGTGAATGCGTTTTCACATGGATACAGAGCAGAGTCATTTCTCCCCACACGACCATCTCTCTCGCTCTCTGTTTAGACCTTTTCTCCTGAGAAGGCTTTAGTCTTCTTTCCTACCACCTGGTATTTCTCTTTTTATCCAAGGATTTCTTAAAAGCCACCATATTCATGGTATTATACATGGTATTCATGGTATCATGGCTCTGTCTTTTTCTCAGGGCTCAGAGTTACAAAGACAAGGGTATTAGAATGCAGCTTTGAGCACGTGTGAATTTATCACTGAAATATTATTAAAACCACAAAATGAAATTTTAAAATGGGGGTGGGTGGGTTGGTGGAAAAATACTTATTTTCCTAACATCTTAACAACGATTTTTATTTCTACATTTTCTGTTTGCCTCTCTACCCATTGCTGGGTTTCATCTCCCTGCCTATAATGTAGGGACAATTATAGTGTCCCTACAGTTTTGATATATGCTTTTAAAAGTTAATGTCAGAAACATTTTCCCTTGTTATACCTTATAGTCTTTATTTATATTTCATTTTTAAGGAGATAAACCACAATATATTTAATTATTCTCCTATGCTTAAATTATCTCTTTTAATTATGAGAAAATATGGTGAACATTTTTTACATGTATCCTTGTACTTTTTGGAAAAATATCCTAAGGATAATTTCCCAGAAATGTCATTGTACAGTTTCTGGCTTTCAATAAAAATGATAGCTTCATAAACAAATTTAAATAGAAGGTAAGACGTTGCCATATTTCATGATCCCTTGTGTGGACACTTGACTGATTTGAAAAGGGAAAGATGTTATCTTAGCTATAGGGAAGTCCCTTAAGTTGCTGAATTTTCCCAGTAACTGAAACATATAATTGTTATTTTCCCTTTTCCATAATACCCTCTATCCTTTTAAATTCTTTATTTTAGCACATTTGACCTTGTCCTATTTTTGTCTCTATCTCTTTCTTCTAGACAGCTAAGTCAATACCATTTTGTCTTTGCATCTTCCCCCATTTCATGCCAAGCAACAGAGCAAATGAATAAAGTGATTTCAGTATCAAAATTATTATTATTTTTTAAAAAATATATTTTATTGATTTTTTACAGAGAGGAAGGGAGAGAGATAGAGAGCTAGAAACATCGATGAGAGAGAAACATCGATCAGCTGCCTCCTGCACGCCCCCTACTGGGGATGTGCCCACAACCAAGGTACATGCCCTTGACCGGAATCGAACCTGGGACGCTTCAGTCCGCAGGCCGACGCTCTATCCACTGAGCCAAACCAGTCAGGGCTCAAAATTATTTTTAAAATGTTACCATTTTAGCCTAGCTGGCATGACTCAGTGGTTGAGCGTTGATCGATGAACCAGGTTTGGTTCCCGGTCAGGGCACATGCCCGGGTTGCGGGTTTGATCCCCATTGTGGGGCCTGCAGGAGGCAGCCAATCAGTGATTCTCTCTCATCATTGATGTTTCTATCTTTCTCTCCCTCTCCCTTCCTCTCTGAAATCAATAAAAATATATTTTTAAAAATGTTACCATTTTAAAAAAGGAATATATTTGAAATGAGCTATCTGCTTCCTTGCTTCTTTATCAAAGAATATGATTTAATTAAATAGTTTACCGGTGAATTTGCAGTGGTAACCAGGGGGAGGATATGCGCCTCAGTTTGGGCGATGTGTTTTCAGGCCGAGGCTGGTAGGTAATGAGAGAATGGGAAAGGGAAACAGAGCACATCTTCTCTTAAAAATGTTCCTGACGTTGCTGGCTTTCTGGTTGCGTTTTTCCTGTAATGGGAGCTATATCCTCTACTGCAGCCCGTCTGCAAGGTTAGTGAGGGCACAGTTGGCTTCTGAACACCAAAGTGGGGCTCTTTCCCTCTGGAAAATCATCCTCACTGTTTTAAACGAGTTTCCTTGGACTTGTCAGTGACATTTAAAACATGATCATAAAATAGACTCCATCTCCTTGTCACTTTCAGTTTCTTCTTCATCTCTTAATCAGAAGTGGCCTGGGGAATCTGATGACAGATTACCATTGAGGCCAAGTTTTCCATGGCATTTGGCTTAGAACAGACTCTTAAACACAATGAACATTAAACACATTGTGGTATTGAATGTTTGAAAGAGGCTGAGGGCCCTGTATTTCGTGAGATGCCCAATGCACAAGAACCTGCATGAAATCTCTTCTAATACGACTTGCCATTTTGTTCAATAACATTGGGCCCCGATGTGGAACCAGTAAAGCGACATTAAGGAAGAATACAGTAGTTATTAGTTTTTTTAAAGGAAGAAAGAAAGAGAGGAAAATCATCCTGTTTTCTCTGGATAAGCCATACAATTGACCAACAATAGGATGACTTTTTTTTATTCTTAAACAACTGATGGTTTTGAAATTTTGCTTTTAACTCAAGTTACAAAAAATAGTCATAGAACAAATTTTTTGCCACTTCTTTGTCCAAAAATGTGTTTTCCTCCATTCCGGGGGGAATGGGTACACATGCGCCGTCTTTCTAAGTGCCAGGGTAATGGAATTTTCTAATTACTGACCATCATCTTTGATGGGAGCCTGCGGTGCTGACAGCTGGGCCTCCCTCCAGCGGCCGCGTGTTTTATCCCCCGCCTTTGCCAACATGCAAGTCCTTTACGTACCAGTAAAATGTGCTGGTTGTGAAATTGTATTGATCTGGGGATAGGCTGTTCTCAGAAATATTACTGAACATTATAGGAATTTTAATAAAACAACTAAAAAAATTCATGTTTCTCACCAACCCTGTTACATTTTATAGGCCGTCGTTCTGGAAAAAACTGCATACTTTTCTGTCAGCTACAGTCTTGATCTAAAACCATTTACTCACCCTTTAATTGAACATGGGCCAGAGATAGGGATCTTATAGAACCGTTGGGAAGCATTTATGGGTTTAGATCAGTATTTTTCTCATTTTGACACGGAATCCCTATGAATAGGTGGCGTGTGAGATAGAGCGTGCAGTGGGCAAGTCAGTGGCTGCATTGGGCGTTCTGGTGTGTGTGTGTGTCTTCGTGCACCTGTTGTCAGGACAGCCAGTCCCAGAGCGTACTTCCTTTTTCTCTCAATTTTCCTTCCTTCTTGTCTTTTTGGAAGAGCCTATTTCTTTGCTTTAGTTTGGAAATGTTTAGCACAAGTCTCATTATGTAGTAAGTACTACACACAGCCAGCTTTTATAGTCTCCCGCACCCGCACACACACATATACATGGTTTTCATCTCCTGGCTGCTTTACTGTGTGCAGCTGACCTAGGTTTAGAATGCACTGATTGTGAGCGGCCAGTGTCTTCCCTTGTTTTCTTTGATTGGAGTCTGTAGAGAGGCACGTTCATTTCTAATGGGTGTTGACTTATATTTTGAAGTTTACATGTTATCTCTCCATTCTTTGGCTTGATAGAATTGTCAGTCAAGCCACTGAGGTGATGAAGTGATGTTTTTGAAATCTCCTGTGCTCTTTGGTCTCTGCCCTGGAAAACGCCAAGTGCTCTAAGTGCTGTGGTGAGGTGTAATCTGATTGGTTTCGTGCAGCACAGTCCACTTAAGCAGCAGCCCAGCCGCAGATAGCAGCTTGTCGGTGTAGCATAGACCAGAAAGCCGAGGTTCTTAGCATGCCTTGGCGGCAGTGTACAAAAGGCAACTCAAAAACACAGACACATCCTGGAAAAGATAAGTGTGGGAAGAGGAACTGCCTTATCTCGAAAACAATTGAGAAACGTGTGAGAGTAAGAGCAGGAAACGGGTTAGATTCACAGGAGCTCCGATGCAGAGGCTGGCGGGAGGCTCCAGGAAGACCTGACGGGAGCCAATAGCAACAGTGATGGCGGAGTCTCTGCTGCTCCCTGAGGAGGGGTGGGCGGTGGCAGCAGCAGGACTTGCCCTTTGATAAATATCAGGACCAGGACGGCTTATATTGTCATAAGATTTGCTTCTGCTCTGTGTTTGGTGCTTTGGAAGAGCCAGAGTTACCTTAGCTACCTGGATGAATCCCTTGATGTTTCATCTGAGCTTATCAATGCCTGTAAGCTGGATTCCTAAAGGGCTACATCTTGCTCTGTGCAATGCAGCTCTACCCTGAGACCGCAGAGGTTCCCTTGGTTCAATGGATGTGCATGTCCTAAAGAAAAGGACAGAGATTCCATTGGCAGTTATACTTAAGGCAATAGGAGTGTTTTTACCCCCTCACCAGTGACACTTCTTGAATGGAAAGTACCTTTTCTCTGAGGTCTCAGGTCCCCAGTACCAACCATGCTGGTATCTCTAGACTCCCGCTGTACTGTACATGTTAATTTATTTATATCCAGAATAGACACATTCCCGATATTCTTGAATGGAAAGTACCTTTTCTCTGAGGTCTCAGGTCCCCAGTACCAACCATTCTGGTATCTCTAGACTCCCGCTGTATGTACATGTTAATTTATTTATATCCAGAACAGACACATTCCCGATACCATTGATCCATGCATCTAAGATATAGTAAATCAGATGCTGAATGTCTAACAGGAGATAAGAAAATAAGTATGTGGACTGCAAAGTAAAAGTGTTAAGTGCTGTGGTAAATACAGCCAAAGTGAGATGGGTATTCAGGGAGGGCATTCAAGGAAGACTTCTTGGAGGAGGTCAATATTGTATGAGTCTTCAGAGATTTTTCTGAAAGGCAGAGGGAGGTGGGACTGAGAAGGGCACTTCAGAAAGAGGAAGCCTGTGGCTAATGTCATGGAGGCCACAGGTGAGAGACTAGATGTGGGGAGCAGTTGGTTGGCTATTGCAAACCACCTGGGTAGGAGGTAATGAGAGTCTAAATCAGGGAGGTGAGGGAAAGGATCAAAGATGTTACAGAACTAACTTTTTGTTGATCGGGGACAAGGGTGAGGTTGGTCAGGTTGCTGCCAAGCTTCTGAGCAGGTGGTGCCTTCGCAAGAGTAATGAGCAAAGGAAGTGGAAAGGAAGGAATATGATAAAAAACACAAACCTATCGAATCTGAGGTGCCCTTAGGACAATCTAGCAGGTTATTGGAAGTGCAGGTCTGAATTCAGATTAAGAATTGGAGGTGAAGCTTTGGGAGTTATTTACATAGACTTAATAGTTGGAGAAAAATAGATGAACTTGCCAAAAAAAAAGAAAGAAAGAAAGAAAGAATGCAAAGGTGCATTCTTGGGGATCATCTTAGCTTTGGGGAAGAGGGAGAGAATAGCCAGAAAAGATTGTCACAGAAAAAATGACCTGAGGGAAGAAAACAGGAGAGTATAGTGTCTTTGAACTGCAAGGCATAAGAAATTTTAAGGAAACAGGTGGGGAGGATCAAAGAAGGTCAAGAAAAGTGAGGACTGAGAAGAGGCCATTGGATGTGGTGAGTAAGAGGTCATGGTGACCTTGGAGGGGGCAGTCTGGGTAGAGTAGGAACAAAAGCCATAGCAAGAGATTCAGGAGTGACTAGTAGTAAGGTGGTCAAGAAGTAGAGGCAGTGAACAGAAATTATACTTTCAAAAAGTTTGGTAGTAGCCCTGGCTGGTGTGGCTCAGTTGGTTGGAGTGTTGTCCCATACCCTGAGAGGTCATGGTTCAATTCCCCGGCAGGACACATACCCAGGTTGCTGGTTTGATCTCTCTGGGTGCATGCAGGAGGCAGCTGATCAGTTTCACTCTCACATCGATGTCTCTCTCTCCCCCCTCTCTCCTTCTCTCCCTCTCTTCCTTTCCCTTCTCTTTCTAAAATTAAAAACAGAAAAAAATATTTGGTGGTAAAACTTATATTTTTGTTTTTGTTTCTTTGGCCTTGACTCAGAGGATTCTTGTGCCCTGAAGGGAAGGACATAGAGGCCAAGAAACAGAAAAGAACAAAATGACAGGGGGGGAAAGATAGCTGATAGAGTAAGGACTTGGAGCCGGCTGGCAAGGGGCAGCTCACTGCGAAGTGGCTTTGTTGTTGGGGAGAAGCTTGAAGTTCAAGAACTGGGGAGAGCGGAAGCTTAGCTGGTCATGCCCAAGTCCCGCCCGGTTGAAGGAAGGGAGTCTGCAGGAGAGGGTGGGTTCTGAGCTTGGGGAGAGCTGAGCAGGTCTGGGGTGAAGATGGCAACGCAAAAGGAATGCCTGCTGAGCTTTTGGCAGAACACCCTTGGGTTTAGGTAATGTGATTTGTAGTGGAACTTGTTGCCCCAGTTTTGTGACTCCTATGAACTTTGAGCAGCTTAGAGAAATGTGAATCCTTTGCCCTGCTCAGGTGGAAGGGGACTGGGACAGGACTGGGATCATGGGTTAAGGGTTCCAGTGGGGTGTGAAGTCAGTGAGGGCAGCAAGCCATTAGCAAGGGCCACAGACCATGGCCCAGACATGAAGTGAGATAGAAAAGTCAGACATGTCCCCTCAAAGCAATGAAAATTAAGCCAGTTGCCCTTTCTCCCTCAAATCTCAAGAAGGCTGAGCTTTCGTCAAATTAAGGGGAATGATGGCCTCTGAGGAGTGGAAGGCGGGGGAGATGGTCCAGTCGGTGCGCAGTGCGAGGAAGGGGAGTGGGGAGGGACAGTGGGGTGATGGCCGCTCTTCTGAGTGGCCGAACTGGAGGAGAGAAGCGGGGCCGCTGGACATAGTGGCTCATCTTCACCTCCTGTTCATGCTTCCTCCCTTTAGGAACTCTTACAGGCCAAACAGGACCTTCAAGATCTGCTTATCGCCAAAGAGGAGCAGGAAGACCTCCTGAGGAAGCGGGAGCGGGAACTCACTGCCCTGAAGGGAGCCCTGAAAGAAGAGGTTTCCAGTCATGACCAGGAGATGGAGAAGCTGAAGGAGCAGTACGACGCCGAGCTGCAGGCCCTGAGGGAGAGCGTGGAGGAAGCCACCCAGGTGAGCGCCCCCACTGGCAGGTCAGCCGGAGCGGGTGTCGGATGGGCAAGAAAATGTGGCTTGGGAATAGATAGCAGGGCACAAGGTCTCCCACGCCAGCGCCAGTGGTCTTGCTTCCTATTCGTTACAGAGTGAAGCTTTCATCATGGAAATAGAGCTTACGCACAGAAAGTTCAACAGTGCTGCTGTTGACGACTTTGAGTCTATAAACTTAGACATTGTTAAGGTCATTGTTTCAGCGCTATTGTACCAGGTGAGACTTGCGTGGTCCAGTTCTGGAGCCCCTTGCAGAGCAGAGATCTGCACCCTCTAGCTGTGCGGGGAGGTCACAGTGAGAGGGTGGTTTTGCTAAGGGCACAGCATGGCAGGAAGCACCCAGGTTTCTGGCATCCCTCCCGCTGCCCTCGCCTGTGCCTTCTGACGGGGAAGCCTTTCGTTAGACATTTCAGTTCTTTTCTCAGCACCGTTATGAGAGGGTTAATTGAGTGAATGGCCCAGACCCTGGCGAGATAATTTTTCTCCTAATTGAATTCTTGGCTCCTACAAATAGATTCTCCTAAATTATGTTGAAGTCTTCTGGTGCGGGCCTCATGTGGGCTGTTGAAGAAGAGAAAAAGCAAAGTTTTGAAGGGGAAAATGCTTTGAAATAATATGCCATCTTTAGGGAAAGAGGGAGATTACAGAGTATCATTTCTTTTAGAGTCTCTGCAATGTATAGGTCAGAGATGATGAAGAAAGAACTCCCCATACGGTTTGTTCATTGTGTGATGATTACAGTGACAGCTCAGAGCTGGTAGGCCCTCCCTCACTAAGCTCCATAGTGATTCACTGATTTTCAGTTATGGCACAGTAATCGCTAATGACAAGAAGTGAAAGATGGGTTTGTTTGTTATAACAAAAGTCTGGGACTGATTGCCTCCCACACTCACCCCAAGTCTGTTTGGGGTTATTATAACTGAGGCAGTTACCAAAAAAAGCCTCTTGTTGATTTGCCTATCTTAGGTTTTTTGGAGATATGGTTTAGTTTGAGGGAGAAAAGCGAAACTGATTGGATTTTCATTGCTTTGAGGTGGTGTTTATTTTTTCCACCTCATTTTGCTTATATGCAACAGCCTGGTGTCCTTGCTCGTGGCTTTCGTGTGCTGCTTCATGGGGGACACGCCCAGAGGCTACTGAGTAAAATGACTCTCCTTTGAGCCCGTCTTGTCTGTATCATCTTCAGACATTGCATCAAAGCTTGAGTTATCAAGGTGTATTCATCACAGGGCAGGGAGCTGGGGATGGCGTTAGGCATGCTTGTAGTGGTTTCACTATGAGGAAAATTAAACTGATACCACACATGCGTCTCTCCCAGACATAAACGGGGACGGAAATATGGCAGGGGAAAGAGGATGTCTTTTTATATGGAGTTGAGATCATCTGTAGAGACGTAGGCTCTTGCATTTTGACCTTTTTGAAGGTCAGCATTGTTCATGGCACTTGCATTATGCCAGTTTAAGAGGGGTAACTGCATCGCCCCACATCAGTCTGTGAAAGAAACAGCAGGCGAGTTAGCCAAGGTGTGTGCCATTGGCAGAGAATGCAGGGTTTCAGAGCAGCAGGAAGCGACCGCAAAGGGGTTCCCCTTAGCATCCAGTGGGGTGAGCGCCAGCAAGGCTCTTTGCCCCAGGTCATATTCTGCACTGCTGGCAGCATCCTTCCCTGAAAGAACAAATCCGGTCATGTCAGCCTCTGCTTTAAACTGCCTTGGCTCCCATTGCCCCAGACTTAAGTTCAAACTTGTGAGCATGGTAGGCGATCAAAGTCCCTTCTTCTGAACCCTGTCTCCAGAAAGTTCCATATTATTTTAGTCCTCTCACCTTCCCCTTTTCAACTTGAACAACCTCTACTCATCCTTCAAGACCCTCCCCAAATGTCCTCTCTTCTCTGAAGGTGCCCCAGGTACCTCCACTCCCCTTGGTGGAGTCAGGTACACCTTCCTCAGGGTTCCTGTTGCACCCTGGCTATTCCTCTACCATGAACTATTAGTTTGCATCACACCAGATTGTAATTTATCATCTTGTCGGCTGCCTCTATGAGACTCTTAGTTTCTTAAGGACAGGGGCCTTTTTAAATTTATTTTTTAAATCCTCACTTGAGTATATTTTTCCCATTGTTTTTCAGAGAGAGTAGAAGGGAGGGAGGGGGAGAGAGAGAGAGAGAGAAAGTGAAATATCGATGTGAGAGAGACACATCAACTGATTGCCTCCCACACTCACCCCAACAACCCAGGTTCATGCCTTTGACTGGGCATCGAACCTATGACCCTGCAGTGCAAGGGCCAACACTCTAGCCACTGAGAACACCAGCCAGGGCACAGGGGCCATTTTTTTATCCACTTTTTTTTTTTCTTAGACCAGAAGTGGCAAACTCAAGTACCTTGGGATCCGGACAGGGACATAAATGAGTGAAGCTCTGGGATTGTTGTTGGGGTGACCGTAGGGCGCCGTGGGGACTGTGGCAGGCTGGAAAGTGCGTCCTTTGCTGGAGGGTCAGTTGCTTCTCTCCTACAGCTCAGGAATGTGGGGCCCATGTTGCTAGATTTCACAATTTTTAAAGAGAAGCTGGATAGCTGGATGTTGATGTGAGATCTCCTGACTTTTAAGCAGGGCTTCAAATTAAAAAAAAAAAAAAGTCACAAAAAACACACACACACACAAACACAACCCATCTGGCAGGTCGACAGCATGTGCTCTTTGTCTCTGGAGCTTAGCCCAGTGCCCGGCCTATGGTCACATCTGTGCAACGTCTGACGAGTGAAAGTAAGTGGAGGACAGACTCTCCTGTAACCGGGTGTCGGGCCTGGTTGTGGTTCCTGCTGAATTCTCTCCGATGATGATGTGGGAGGTCTTGTAGGAAATCTGCTCTTGCTCTGTGAATTTCTGTGCCTTGCTTTTGAGTTTCCCTGTAGTTTTCCTTAAAGAGGACTGTGAGTATGTTTTTATACTTTAGTTTTTGCTTCTGAAGGTGGTTGCTGAACAACTGTGCCCGAAGCATATTTAATGGAGAAAGTTATGTTAATTTAGTGGACAGATGCTGCCTTTTTGTTACATTTGACATGCGAGTATTCTCTAATAGAATTTTAAGATGATTCTGTTAACTTCTTGGAGGAGAGTGAATTGAATGTACTTTTTTAAATTAGTAGAGTTATTTCTTAAATCTGCACTGGCTTTACCTTTTTCCATCCCTGGGGAAGTACTCGCCCCCTCACCACTGACTAAAGTTTATTTCCTTGGTCATCCATTTTTCTAATTTTGCTGCTGCTCCAGGGCCTAAAAACCCTAAAGTGCTATTTTATTATCGTCAGATGACAAACATTTCATCCTGGCCTGAGCTTGAGCACTAAAAGTTTTAAATTACTAGAACAGTTGGTGAAGACTGTCAAAGTCTATTAAGAACATTTTACAGGGATTCCAAGCAGGTCCTCTGTAAAAGTGGTTCTTGTAAACCCAAATGGCCTCACCTTTTTAAGAACAGACTGATTGCTCACCAGAGAAGTCCTGAGTGCCTGGGCTGTGGGCTTCCTGGTGTAGCAGAATGATTGGAACCCCCACAGGCTGGTGAGGTGCCCATCAGGTGGCTACTTCCATCCCTTCCCAAGGAGATACGGCAGCGGCTGGAGCCCATGTGCAGAAATGGACAGTCAGTGGGGATGTGAGTGACTGCTGTCTGTGAGTACAGTGAAGACTGTCCATAGCTGTGGGCTTCCCTTTTTCATCCCCACCCCATCCGGTCTCAAACTCCTGTACAAAAGAGAAGCACATACTGTTTAGTGTCTTCAGGTTCCTCTGAGTAGAATAAGTTCAAATTCTGGCTCCTCCAAGAACTCCCCTGGTTCCCTCTTGGGCCGTATAATTGCTGGACCTGGAATTGCTGGGAATTTTGTTCTTGGTTTTCTCTTCCCTGTCATATTAAGGACTGTCATCATTTTTTCCACTAGGCATCCCCAATGTGCTTGACATGTCATAGGTGCTCAGAAAGTGTTTGTGGGTTAGAGGCATGAATAGACCAAAGGGGAGACGCCTTTGAGTCCCCACCATCCCAAGGCCAGGCATTAGACTGTTTTGGGGTCTCATTTATGAATTAAAATGGTTTCTCATGAAAATGAACAAATCTTGTCTATTGGGATCATAATGTTAATGTTGATCTTGGAAGGACTACTTTTGTGTCTAAAAGAAGCAAGCATTTTGAGGAGGATAAATAAAAAAGCCACTCTAGCCCTGACCGGTTTGGCTCTGTGGATGGAGCATCAGCCTGCGGACTGAAGGGTTCCGGGTTCGATTCCGGTCAAGGGCATGTGCCTTGGTTGTGGGCATGTCCCCCGTGGGGGGTGTGCAGGAGGCAGCTGATCAGTGTTTCTCTCTCATCAATGTTTCTAACTCTCTGTCCCTCTCCCTTCCTCTCTGTGAAAAATCAATAGAATGTATTTGAAAAAAAAAAGCCACTCTATTTCTGTTGGGTAATAGGACTTTTGGGCCATGAGGCACTTTCACATATTTGAAAAAAAAAAAAAAAAGCCACTCTATTTCTGTGTTGGGTAATAGGACTTCTGGGCCATGAGGCACTTTCAGAGTGCCCGCCATATAGCAGTTAAGCAGCAAATATCTCTTCAGTGAATGGATGAAGGGGAAGAGGAGGTAGGATGAGAGAGACAGCATTTACCAATTTACTTGCTGAACAGTTGCCAAGTGCATACTGTTGTGCTAAGTCATGTGAGGGTTAGAAACATAAATCAGAGTATCTGCCTCCCAGGAGACAAGGGAGATGGGCAACACTGGAGCTGTTACGGAGGAGGAAAGAGCAGCGGCCCCGAGTGCAGTGGAGGGGAGTGCGAAAGGGGTGCTGTGCGCAGGCAGGAGGTGGTGGCAGGCAAGAAGGTTTCATGGAGGGGCGGGGCTCGGTTGGGCTGAGAAAGGTGAGGTATTTGGAGACCCGTGAGCGTGGACACTGAGGACATTTTG